TAATGATTGGAAGTTATAAACTTGGGTTAGTGCTCACTATCTGCAGGTGTTTGCTTTTAATTTTCTAATTATTTCATTATACGAATGCTCACTGCATACAAGTATGATTGTATAACTAAATAAATGAACTCACCTTGAAAGGAACTACTCGCTTACTAAACCATTCGCTCTTCTCATATTTTATGTAAACGTTACATAATGAGTAGTGTTGTTTGAACTCAGTTACTCAAAACTAGTCTGTGTGAGTCAAACAATTATCGCGTGACGGATGGTGATACTACTCGGCTAGAGAAGTTGGGTTGAGTAGGATTCTAACCCTGTAGGCGACTAGTTGAAATATAAGTGCTAGTCATCAGTTCAGTGGAAAACTTTCCATGTAGTACATACAATCAAATTGACAATTTGCAATTTAAACAGCTTAAGGTGGAAAGTCATCACAGTTTCCTGTGGGAACCGCAAAAATATTCACAATATGCAATCTCCTGGATACTATACATGGCGGCCAAGAATGCAAGAGAGACAGCATAACGGTGTATGCTGATTTAACTCTATGTATTATCAATTCACCCAAATAGCTAGCCAGATTTTGAGGGAAATACATTAGTTTGTTTATTTGATCTATTCCACAATGCTCAAATTGTTTACCGATATTAAGATTTTGAGTGATTTCAACGAAGTAGACCGCTAACGCGTCCCACCCCAAACGAGCCAGGCTGCCATCCAGTGTTTAGACCACTAGTTAGTAGACACTGTTGGATGACATGAAAGGCTTTCAACTACTCACACTAACCACCAGTAGTACATATGATGTAGCGCATGTCTACGAGAAAGGAGGACGCAGACTACATTGGCTTATATCATATGATTTCACCTAGCTGAGAAGGTGAGAAAAGATTTTGACGAGATTTCTCCGATCGAAAATTCGTGTTTCGGGTGAAGGGGGTAGAGAGGGAGTTAGGATACGCGAAGCCCCTTCGAAACTGCATTCACGAGAAATATCATGTGATCTAGCTCGTAGTACACCAGAAAAATTGGAACTGCCAGAAAGTAAAATTAACATACTGTTGTCAGTTTTGTGATAACTATAATAACAATCGTACTCTAGTGAAATACCATGAGTTTCGGTAGTGTTTTTTTTTCCAAAGACCATCAATCATTCATGTGATTAATCATTGGAGAATACTGATAAAATAGTTATAATGAGAGCAGAATTTGGTCCCTGTTGGCTTGTGGAATTCCATCCTAGAATAATTTTATTTTGTAAAAATCACATAGAGTGATATAGTATTATTTACTGTTAATGACGTTTAGTGCACCATTCATCTCTCATCATCGTATCAAGGTGCTACACACGCGTATAACCTGTTAAAACAAACATTGATTCTTTACCTCAAAGGTATGGTGGAGACATGTGGATGACATTTCCACAATAATAGGGAAGATTTTTAGCTCAGAAAAAGTAGGTAAAATTAATACCATTTACAAAATAAATTGTATGATTTGTAACAGGCATTACATCGGCCAAAGTGGGCTCCCCCTTCGAATTAAAATCCAAGAACACAAATCAGCCGTGAAAAGACACGATATATATTCTTTAGTATCAATGCATATAGACAATTATGGTCATCAATTTGATTGGGATAATGTCAAAATCTTAGACAGAGGAAACACCAAAAGTGCCAGGTAATTCCTAGAAGCCTGGTACTCAAACGAAAATGCAATTAACAAACACGTTAATATAGACGAAATATATCAACTAATAAAATCAGGTGACCAGAAAGTTTAAAATCCAAGTCAGTAGAAAATGGTCAACACATATGTAAAGATGGTTACCAGGAGATGCAATTATATCACTCATGAAGAAATTTAAATCATTTCACTTTGTGCTAAATATGGCGCTGAAGATGTTGTCCAGAAGGACGATGAAAGCTCCGCAACCAAACCAACCAGCTCAGAGGACACTATTAATTACAATTACACAATGTTGAAAAAAACAGAACATATCTCTAGTTTCTTCGCACATAAAAAACTCAAAAGTAGATGGCGGTATTTTTAATTCCATTTCCCATAAAACTTATTTCAATTAAGTCACAGTATTTATTATACAGTAATATTTACTAATGACCATGTTTCGCGCACAATTTATTATCGTTCATAAGCATATCAAGACATACTACTCAAACAACTTTCTAACTTCGTTTATATACATGAGTAAAGGTGATCAGACGCAAGAATAAAAATCAATAAAAATTCATTAGACATGCGTGAAAGAGAAAGGCAGATACAGTACATTCGGAAACACTATGAATGTCCTCAATAAATATAATACGATGGGAATTAAGACGAGTTTTGTTAGTCAATCTACTATGGAAGATAATGTATATTCGGAAATAATATTAGTTTTATCGATAGTTTCAGAACCAGTTGAAAGTGATGATAGTGAACAAAGTGCATTGAATATGTTCCCCTGAAGCCGTATATACCACTCTGAATGTAGGGAATGCACAATAATAATAATAACAGAGGTAACGATAGAGATCTTGTGTACTAAATGGGACTTCATGAATGACTCACACAATTAGGTTACTCACCTAAAGAATGTCTGTCTGGATTCAACATAGAACTTGGCACCGAAGTGCAGTAGTTCGAGTTGCCACGTTCCAAATAGCACACACAAGAAGATGAGTGAAGAGAATCAATGGAGTTTTGACAAGTATAAGAGTGAAACAGAATGTGTAATGGTAGAAAGGATTATGAAAGATTACAGAGACTGAATACATCTGCTCCATTGTCAACGATTTTGAGCCATGTCACCTATTGTCTCCAGCCATTGATTCTTAGAGTCCCGAGGGCGGGCCCCAACCCGTAAGTCTGCATCTCCCTACCTGACTCAGTTTAACTGTCAAGGATTTCATGGCTTGATGCCGTGTTTTTGTTTGGTCACCACTTACTCTTTTCCAACCTGCACCTATATCAGCTAGTAATGCCCGTCCGTCGGGGGAGGCGATGGTTAGGCATGCGCAGCACGTGGCCTAACCATCTCAATCTATGTAACTTCATAGCCTCTTCGAGTGATTTTCCCTCTTTGCCCAACACTCTACGCCTAACGTCAACATTACTTACCTTATTATACCACCTAACGTGAGAAAGAGATCGTAGACATCTATGATGAAAAACAGTCAACCTTTTCATGTCTTCAACTCGTATTGGCCATGTTTTAGAGCCATAGAGAAGGACAGAGCGAACTGCTGAACAGTACACACGTTCCTTGGTTGATAGCCGGATGTCACGCCTACGCTAGAGATGGTGTAAGTTAGCGAAAGCAGCCCAAGCTTTTTGGATCCGTGCTGAGATACAATTTTCACCAAATCATTTTGGCAATACTCATCGACAGGTTGAATATTGCTGAAAGTCAACTAGTGATGTACAATAGAAAAACAACTGAATATCATATTGGATGTTAGACGTTTGCAGGAAAATATAATGGAGTGAGCCTTGCGCATACCTTTCATGCTTATCGGAGCTAAGAACTATTGTTAATAGATGGTTGAAGACAATCAGCCACAGGAAGCCCTATTGACACTCAGTAGTCAGCAAGGAATATCCTGAGGTTCGAGCCCGCGTCACCCAGTGCTGCCTGTAGTCAGAGACATCACTACTGAACTATTCGGGCTGGCGTTTGACCTCCTGTAGAACTGTATTGGATACTTTGATTAAGCGCTAGTTAGTAACTAGTATTACGCCAAGCAGCACGAGACCTAGATTGAAGACTTCCTGCCGATTTCCTCCAACCATCAACAATTCAGACTGTACCGTGATGTCAAGTCCATATAGCATGGTGTCCATAGTGAAAACTAGACTGCTGTAATTCAGTCTGCCCCAGACAATGGACTAGACACATGATACTTGTTACTAAGTGGTGTCCAATCATCTTCTCTTGTCAATTTTAATGATCCCAGGTTATCTGAAGATGGATGTTTAATCCAACCACAACTGAGACCTTCATTCTGCATTCCATGAATAACAGTCTATTAACCGTAGGCTTTCTTAAATAGTCTCAGGATTGTGAACCCCCTATCCAGTTATCAAAATATTCAAGTTTCGGCTTGTATAGATTTGATTGTTTTCATTGTCGGTCAGGAATCGGCTTCAGTTAGAGAGGTATTCAGAACTGGGCATTTGTTCTGTCCCTAATTACAACTCTTGGTGAGTTCACATTCATGACCCCATGAGAGAACGAACCCATGGCTTTCGAGTTACAGGGCGAAGTTGTATGCTAGTCAACTCTCTAGGATGGCATCCAATAGTCTCTCAATTCTGACTTGTGTCATCCTGTAGTGAGTAACCGATGAGCACTAGATTAATTTTAATGTGTTACCTTGCATGCATTTAACTCATTTCAATTTTCGTCACGATTTCGGTTTGTAATCTGAAGATCCTGGGTTCAGACTTCGTTGGGGTTGTAGTGCAACGACAGAAGATAAGGGCCAGGCAACAGATAGTTTATCGAGGAAATCAAGAGATATTTATCGATTTTTATGTACATTAGTATTCGTTATTGTTAGCAGAGAAACAGCGTCTTCTGATTGGTTGTTTTCTCACTGAAATTTATTCTGTCATCTCTTTGTGGCCGTTTCTCTGAAGGTCATACCATATATCTGCTAACCGTATCCGCCCACACAAAGTCTTCTGTGATTGGCTGTTGAATCAGTCTTTGTTCTTGTTGTTTTCTTCTCACGATCAAGATTTGGGACGTAAAGCTTGATGTAAACTGCTGTCTACCAATTTTGGCTAGCAGACGGCTCTCACCACAGTAGGTGTGAACTGATAAAGAGTCCCAAACCAGGACGAAACTGCCTTCCAGTACTCCCTGATTTTCAATAGCTCTCTAACTGAAATTGATTTGTACCTAAAACTGACACAAAAAATATTGTTCTTTTCGTTTATTAAGTCTTATAATTTCCATGTCATTCACCTTGTGTGTAAATCTTCCTTTACAGAAAAGTAATCCTACTGAGGCAGTTAATAATTCCGAGTTAACTGATACACCTGAGTATGGATTTGAACTACCGCTGACTGGACAATGTTGTCTATGGCGTGCCCGACCAAAACCATCTTGTTCATCTGATTACTATAGTTTCACACAGTATACAATTGGTTTGAATGAGCTAAACTATGCAGTGAATTCATCAGCTGATAGTGTCACTACTGATCACAGTAAGCATGACTTTGAAATGAATGCCAATGGTAATATGCTGAATTGTATGACGAATACGCCAGCGAGTGAAATTCCATCAAGAAAAAATTCAATCTATGGGAAATTTTTACCACCTACAGATTCAAGATATCGACCAGATTTACGTTTATTTGAAATGGGTAAAATTGGTAAGTGTGTATAGATTTGAATTTTATTCACCTGTTTTGTTGTTGTTGTTGTTGGTGGTGGTGGTGTCTACCTGTCTTTGTTATGCCTCACTTTTAAATGTTACTGTTGAATAACTTTTTTACAGTGTAGATTTCGCCATGGACTGACATTTGCTAGTGGATAGCGGTGGCGTTGAACAACTGCTTTCTTCCAGTTTAGGACATCTCAGCAACACATTTACTCATCATAGATCAAATCCATTAGCTTCTGGTTGTCAAATGAGCCGGTTGACTATTAAACCGCTGAGTTGGAATCCAGTCATTTTTGAATTTCTAATTTCTGTCACTTTGTGATATAGCGTCGGTTGCACAGCGGTTAGGACTCTCGCCGACCATGCACATGGTCCGAGGTTCGATCCCCCGCAGACGCACACCTGATATCTATGGTCGGCCTGTAAAATTTGGGCTACCGATATCACATGCTGAAAATTCCATACCTGTACCAAAAATACTGTGTGGTTTCAAGCTATAATAAAAAAAAATAGACAAACACCCACTTCGCCTTGTCGACGTAGACCTCACTGGCCATGACTTCTTATTAAATCTTCAAGATTTCTATCCAGCAGCCACCATTGAGCTGCATATTGATTTTCTATGATTGGATTTCGGCCACAGTTGCTGAATTATCAACGACCTTGGCCGCATAGCCTGTATATCTTGGGTCTGATTCCTGATGGGATTGTGGTTTCATACCGCTATGAAGTCCTCCTAAGTTTTCACTGGTTCTCTAATTGGTGTCAGTTAGTCATTTTAACTCGTAGTCAAATCCAATATTTAGATACTATTTAATTCATGTTTGTAAATGCGTATGCGTTGCACAAGTGGTAACTCGCATGCTGACATTTGAAACGACAACAGGGGATGCAGATACCTTAAACTGACGTCTCTGTAATTCCCTTGTCCAGACACTTACTAGTAAAATTACACAATTATTATATATATTCATTATTATTATTTGACAATCATTCATCAATAGTACTTGTAATTCTACACCATATCATCGTTATTATTTTACAATCATTCTTACTGTCGTTATTTTCAACCTTGAACTTATGTCTAGACCGCCCCATTCGTTGGTTCATTTTCATATTGTCTCACACACCCTGATTACACTCACTCTCGAAACTTGTATTTTTCTGTTGGCTATATTTATGTATATGCAAACACATCATTAAATTAAATTATTTTATCTCATGTTCTCATTGACAATGCATATTAAAAAACTAACTGACTATTGTTCCATCCCATCTTCCTTTAAACTTGTTCCACAATACACTTTCTGATATGATTCTAATTTCCCTTTCCCGACTGGTTATTGTATGCTTAAATTAATGGATTTATAATTGTAGAGCCTGAAAAAGAATTTATTGAGAACAGTTGTTCACTCTAAATATTTTGTTCCAATATGAAATTCTTATGTGTGTCGGTGCACAGCGGTTATGACTCTCGCCGATCATGCACACGGTTCGGGGTTCGATCCCCTGCCTAGGCACACGGGATGTCTATGGTCGGCCTAAAAGTTTGGGCTACCGATATCACATGCTGAAAATTCCATACTTGTACCAAAAATACGGTGTGCAATCAAGCTGTAACCAAAAATAAAAAAATCAATAATCTATTGATAAAAACTTGGTGTACCACAAGGATCTATTGATTCTCCTTGGAATTCCCTTGATAATTTATTGCTTTCTTACAGTTTTATTTACTATTCTCTTGTTATCTCTTCCTTTATCTTATTGTTTTGCATGTTACCCTTAAATTCTGTTCCCCTTACCCAATCACTTATGTTTTAAGTATAGTTCATTATTTCTTAATCGGGATTCCTTATTTATAATCGCTTTGAGTGAAGAATATTCTCTTTTCCACGATTTCATTTCGAATATACAGGAATTACAATAGATAATAGTAACAATCATTTTGTGTGTGTGTGTGTGTGCGTTAAAGTTTGACAGTGAGTGGAAATACAGAAGTGCGATAATATTGATGTTTAGGATTTCGGGTCACTATTGATTAGATCTATGAATGAACAACTAAATGAATAAATAGAGGTCACCCTAAAGTTCAATAGACGTGTGTCAAAAATAGATGATCGGAAAATAAAGTACATTCAGAAATGTGAATATGTGAATAGAATAATATGATGGAAACATAGGATGAGTGAAACGTTATCAAAATAGTAGACTAGATAAAGTGTTAGAATATGATAACATTAAGTGTAATGAAATAAAACAAAAGTGGAACATGGAATAAAGAAGGATAACAAAGTTGTTACATGGATTACATAGTAAAATCAAGACCATGGGGTAACGAAAGAGATCGTACACATTGTTTTTGTACACAAAGTTCTGACTTTCCGTTATTTTTCGATTTCGACCACGGATTGATATCAGTTGGAGAACCATTGAAAACCAGCAGGGAGTACTGGACAGCTGTTTCATCCTAGTTTGGGAATCATCGGCAGTAAGCACCCACTCCACTGTCAGGATTCGAACCCAGGACCTTCCGGTTACAAGGCGAGTGAGCTCGTATACCATTCAGCCACTGGGACCCAATTCAGTGGCCAACCCATGAATTCTAACTTTTACCAATTCGTGATTTAGCACGACTGGCACCTACCAATGTATTCGGTGGGAAATCCATCCTCACACTTGACTGGATGGACCTCACCAGTCACGACTTCTCACTAGAACTCTAGGAAACGCCGTCCTGTAGCAAGTCACTAGTGAGCATCATATTTTTCTCATATTATTTATTGCCAAAGCCTCTGCTATAAAAAGCAAATGCACTCGTGTCCATTTTGGCAAACTTTATCGAACTTTGTAGACTATATTAAACTATGTGTCAGATGATGCTTCGTGGTCACTATCCACAATATGTTGCAATATCGATGAATTAATTAATACCTCTAGTTCTCCTTTGCTCAACCGAAGTGGAAGGTGCTATCGAACGTGGCAGAGGAATATGTTTCTCGATGAAGTTCTTATGTAACTAACTCCTCAAGAGCAGTTGAACATGTAAATACACATGGAAATAGACAATCGAGGTAACATTGACATTCCTTGACATTAGGGCGCACCAGTGGACAGCTAGAGTAGGTTAGTTATTCGTAAAGTGGCAGCAAAGAACCCTTTTCTCAATCATCTCGTCATTCAATTTTTAAGTACCTCACTCGCAGTGTCACTCCGAAATCCTCAGTTTAGGTGCAACACATTTTTAGCTACTTTCAATCTCTGTATTTATTCCACGTAATTTGCTATTTGCCTCTAAGAAGCGTAATGAATATCCATTCTCTGTGAAGATTTCATTCAGTTGTCTAAGTTCATCATCAACGCTATCTTGGTTACACATTCTTTAGGTTAACCGCTCTTTATTTATTTAGCTAGTCATTCATATATCTAATCACTTGTAACTCATAATCCTATACACCAATATTATGCCACTTTAGTATTTCCCCTCACTGTCAAACTTCAACACACACACACAAGAAAACTAACTGTTATTATCTATTGTAATTCACAGATATATACGATTGAACAGCTATGACAATGAAATCGTTGAAAAGAGAATTTTCTTCACTGAATTCTTTGTTTTAATATCTCACTGGGGATTATTATTATTATTATTATTATTATTAATTCAATTATATTCTTTTATCAAGATTTATCGATCTTTTATTTCCCTAATTATGTCATCTTTTCGATATATCTTATATCAAACTCCACTATGAATTATATTCACACCTATATGACATTATTATTATTATTAATAGTAGTAGTAGTAGTAGTAGTGTAACGGCAGAAGACAAGGGCCAGGCAACAGATCGTTTATTAAGGAAATCAAGAGATATTTATAGATTTTCATGTACATTATTATAGATAATTTTTAGCAGAAAAACACAGTTTTCTGATTGGTTGTTTCTCACTGCAAGTTAATCAATCATCTCTTTGTGGCTGTTTTTTGAATGTCAGATCATCTATATGCTAACTGTATCCGCCTACGCAAAGTCTGCTGTGGTTGGTTGTTGAATCAGTCTCTCACGACCAATATTGAGGACGCAAACATTAACGGAAATTACTGTCTACCGATTTGGCTAGTAGACAGCTCTCACCACACTCGTTCCCCCGTCAAATCGTTTGGACTGAAGTCGAATTGATCTTCTTGGTGCTGGCGTCATCGTCGGCTTCTCTCACTGTATCCATTTCTGGAGCTCACTGACGTTCACCTGCTTCTCTCTGCTTGTATTTTTGATGGTATATACGTTACCCTATCTCGTGGTGACCGTGTATGGTCCTTCCCACTTTGGTAGCAGTTTTCGCGCCCCTGGCACGTATCCGCCGGTGTTTCGCCTATCTCTACATTTGACTTGATCTCCGATCTCAAATGCGGGATACTTCCCTTTTACCCTATGTTCGGCTTTCCCAGCGTCCATTTTCTGCTTTCGTTTTACGTTGTTGATGGCTTCTTTCCGCTCCGTCCACCATCTCGTCATATTCCAATGCTGATGGAGGGGCCAGGTCTTGTTATGTATCGGCAATCGTGGTTTCCTCCCATACATTAGCCAGTTCTCACCACAGTTGTATTATCATATCAGATTACATTTTCGGATTGTCCTATTCATCAAATTTATAGTATAGGAGTGGTCATTTTGTTATTAATAATTTGTACTTTCTGCCCTATTTCGATTAATTAGGTCATTTGTTTTTATTCCCCAAAGATGTGGACAGACCTACTTTGTATTGATTTTATTCTCTGAAATATACACCATATTAATTTCCAAATAGAAAATATCCCCATTTAGACATTTAGAAAACAGAAAGATTGAGCGAAGAAATATTTACTTTTCAATTAGATCCTCATCTCTGGCTCTACTCTAATATATATCCATAGCATTTTTATTACAATACACAACAGTTCACCAATCAAGTGGCACTGATATGTTTGTTAACAATAATTAAACAGTGTCAAAATGTCAATGGGTTGATAATTAACAAAGAAAATCAATACACATTTAAAAGGTAGAAATGTTTAGAGTAGATTAATTTTACAAGGATAACACATAATTAGAGATGAAGTGGTCAAAATAAAAATAAAATAATTTGGACAATTATAATTTTAAATGTTTAGGGGGAGGTGGGCGAAGTAGTCCTGTTTATGCATTCTTGTAACGATGGCCACGGTAAGGAAAGTGGCTGTACAAATTTCTTCTGAACACATAGGCTTGGCTTCTTCAGGTGGATTGCGATTGCTTCAGCTGTCTGTAGAAGACGAACTCGTAGAGCAAAATTAAGATTAGTCGGAATGCGATAAATAATTTTAAATGCAGTATAAACCTTATGCTCAGTGTCAACAATAGAACTACGAATAGATCTTGTTTATCCCTTGCTTAACCATGCTGTATGATGTTCGGAAATACGACGATGAAACTGCCTAATTTCCATTTGACAATAAAATATTGGGTTAGTAAATAACAATAATGACATACCTACAACATGGAGGATTCGAGTACACATAAATATACACTAAAATGAAATTCACAATCCAATCCAAATAATACAGTCTACAAATAATTAATTGATCAATTTTATTAACCTTTGTTTTCATGTTTAATTAACCTCTATCGGCATGATTAATTCATGATCATGAGAGAGAGTAAACACTATGTGAACGACAGCTTGTAGAGCAAAGAAAGATAGATAGACATTAATCAAATACCAAACACCTAGTTCAGTGAAGAGTTCTGTTCTTTCAGCGGCGAATTGATTCACACTTAGCTGCATAATCGCAATTATATATAATTATTCTGTTTTCTATGTTTGTTTGTGTCAGACAATAAAAAATAAATTAGTTAGGGTTGTTGCTTACGTTATCAAAATATTCCCAAAAAGTGTGATGAATAATCCAACGGTAACTAGTTGGTAGTGGTGGGATGGGGGTTAAGATTAGTAAGAGTGATGAGTTGTCAAAAATAGTTGTCAATGTTAGTCAATGCATAAGAGAAGAGAAGTTGAATAAAGTGCATTGTTGTTGCGTGGTGAGATGAATAATTTAATGAGTGAGTGAGTCTTGATTAAGATGTACATGGGAAACGAAGGAAACTATGGAATTATGTAAGAGTTGTGAAAAAATACAAGAGTTCTAAGGAGTCAGAAGAGCAGGCATACAAATATCAATTGAGTAGAAATCAACACGGTTGGCACCATGATAGTAGAAGAGGGTTTTTCCATCTGGATGGCTAAGGTTTAAGCAATACAGAGGAGATGAAAGTGAACTGCCTTTGGTAGGTTATTCTTCACTCTATAGATCAAAGTGAATGAGGAGTTTGTTGAGATGGAATGGTCAGTGTTGACAAGGTGTTCAACGACCGCACTCCTTATGGAGTCACTACTACCTTTTTGCAGCCATACTGTGTGATAGTGTTCTCGAATCCTTTCGGAGAGGATACGTGTCGAACAACCAATGTACCTGACTGGCTCCACAGAAACAGGTGAACTGATATATGCACATAGAAATGGTCAGATGTAAGATCTTGTCGTTAAGGCTTCTGCATACCAATAGAGGACTGGAGAACATTACTTGTGGCGTTGTTGAGAAGAATGTTCTTCTCAAAGATGCTGAAATCCTTTTCTTAAGGATATCGGCGGCTAAGTCTCCCTTGAAATCGAGGTTCATGTAGAGTTTGTTGTTTTGGAAGAAGTAATGTTTCGTTCCTGTGACCTTTTGGTCTAATATTCTTGTTGATGGATCGTAGTGGGTCGGTATCCATTTTGGATGAAGGCTTCTTTGAAAAGATCGAGTTCCGCTTCCAGAGTGTCAGGAAAGCAGATGCGTCGGATCCGAGTGACAAGGGATTTAATTGAATTTCGTTTTCGTTCAACGGGCACTCAACTGTGTAAACTTGTTAGTTGACCGTTTCGAGTAGGTTTTCTGTGGACTGACCTTCTTAGGGTTCCATCGGGTTCTCTTGTTAATTACACATTAAGAAAGGGGGTTTCGGTCTCTCTGTCTATTTCTGGAGTGAATTTTATTGATGGATGTCAATTGTCAATCATTTGTAGCGATTGATTGGGGTCGTAGCTATTATCACAAGTGATGAAAATGTCATCTACTTGTAAAACAAAATCTAAAAAGCCAACTATACCACCATATTTAGCACGGGTGGTTGTGTGAAGAGAGAGAGAGAGATATTCGGATGTCAGAAAAGAGCTTATAAACCTTTTTTTAACAAATAAATAAAAACAGCAAATTTTAGCCGGAATTAATATTATTCATTTATTTATTTATTATTCATAATGTTCCACTAACTTTTAGTTTTTTGTCGTTTTATTATTTTATATGTATATTTATAAAAGGAGGTAGACTTTTGCTTATGTACAATTTCTGGAAATTCTATTCTGTATAATCATTATTGTTAGTTGAAATAGTGTGATTATATTATTATTATTATTATTATTATTATTATTATTATTATTATGAATTGAACACATGTAAATCTATACTTCAAAATTAACCTATTGCTCATTAATGACTGACGACTACAGTATGAAGTTTCCTGTAATTCTAGTGAGAATTGGTGACTAATAGGGTCCATTAGTCTGAGTATGAGGAAAGTTATTCATCTACGACACGTTGAATGGAGGGCGGTAGCATTATATGTGGTTCCTATTTTACAATGCATTGCGTGTGTCATCCCAGTCAATAGCTGAATGGTTAACAACGGATTTGCCTCGTCACCTAAAAATTGTTGATTCGATTCCTAATGGGGGTGATGAATACAGATTACTGAATAGTTCCAAACTAGAAGAAAACAGAGATGTTCAGTACTCCATGGTTTCCGACTGTTCTATTTATTTATTTTTTTTTAATTTTGATTTACAGCTTGATTCCACACCGTATTTCCAGTACAAGTGTGGAATTTTCAGCATGGATATCGGTAGCCCAAATATACAGACCGACCATAGATATCGGGTGTGCGCCGGCAGGGGATAGAACCCCGGACCATGTGCATGGGCGGCGAGAGTCCTAACCACTGTGCCACCGACGCACAATTGATGTATCAGTGAAATCTTACCTGGAACCAATCAAATCCCTCAAAGTGATATGTTTGTGTGCGTGTGTGTGTGTGTGTAGAATTAAGGGGGTTTTGAAAATCTTTTTGTATGTTGTGTGGAATAATAAAGTTGAGTAATATTGTATTTTCATTGTACATTGGGTGTTTTTTTTTTAATTTTTCCACTCCTTCCTCTATAGATGAAGCAGCTTCTGAAAAACTTCGCTTAGAAGAAAAACAACGTCATGTACGTAAATTGTCAAATCAACGAAAAAACAGTGGTGGGGGTGGGGGTGTTTTCAACTGGACCTTATCAACCACTAATCATCATAAAACAACAACTGGTAGAGATTCATGTCCGATTACATCCGATGCTACTACTACTACTAGTATTAGTGGTAGTGGTGGTCGAACAAGTAATCCTTTTCGTAGAACCGTCTCAACTAATTCCACTGTCAATTCTTCTTTGGTGAATATTAACCTGCCTAAAGATGTCAATCCAATTGTTGGTCCTATATGGTTTGTTGAATCAGTTAATCCGTTCACTAAACACGAAGAATGGATATTTACTGGAGAATATTGGAAAAGAGATTGGAGAAAATGTCCAGATTTGTATTAATTCAGGTCTATCGTTTGCTTTTGTTTGCTTTATTTTGAGTAGATTATATCAATACCTACACACACACACACACACACAAGTTACCTGACATCTGCCCATTTAGTTCGATGCTTATTGGTATTATTTTTCTCACTTGTTGTAATTATTGTATTTTACTTTAGATGAATACAATTCACTGTTCTATTATTCTGTAAACACGAGAACTGAACACACTGTCAAGTTAGGCTTCGCTATTTTTCAAATCTTTATTTACGATTACAACCGAGCAGATAAGAAACACTTCGTAATTATTGTGATTCATTCTCTATCTCTCTCTCTCTCTCCTTCTATCTGTCTGTATCTCGGAGATTATTTTTGCATCAAGTAGCATTTATTACTAATGCGCTTATCTCATCTTTCCCAGCCCGCTTATCAACACTCACCCAGCCAACCAGCCAGATACACAAACACGAATCAAACATTTATTTATTTATTTATCATATTTGACTCTATTTTGGTTTCGATGTAATAATTAAATAAATAAGTGAACTTACTTTTGAAGGATCCACATTATCTCTCTATTTTTTCTCTTTTACATACTATCATCATCATCACCTTTTTCGTTATTTATTTCGACGTTTTACTTTTCGCCTAAATTCAATTTCCCTGTGATAGAATAATCATCTTTTTCAATTTGTTATCAACATTTGGCTTATTACGAACATGCCATTCACACGTACAAACACATACACACGCATAAATATACAGAAATACAGCGAGAATCGTTAATCAAGATTACTCTTTTAAAAAGTAGTATGTTTGTTCGTTTATTTCTCAACTTCCGCTCTCATTTAAATCCTCTTAAAAAAAACTACTTCACTTAAGAACAGTCTAGCAACAAAAGTGGTAGTAGTAGTGTTGTTTTGTGGACTGTTGAGAAGATTTGTCAGGAATATGTAGGCTCAGATTTATGAGATGTAACAAAAGCTAGGAGTCAACATTTTGAGTTAGTAGCTTCCTAGTTAGAAGCCTTTATTTCTCGAGTCTGCATCTAGCTTACGTTGTGGTCTAACCACCAATCAGAATAGTTTACTAACACTTTATCACAAATGTGGCTAAGAATCTGGAGATATTCGGCGTTCGCCCCTTAAAGTAGTCTGTTACCCAGTTTCTTGTCTGCTTTCGTTACATTTATTGTCTCTGCCTCCAGATAATGAAGGTCTAATGGCCTGCTGCTTTCGAAGGAGGAGAAATACGAAGCTTCTTACAGGACTTTGATGCCGCCGCTGAGTTGGTGGGTGTCAAGAATTCGAAGACGATTGTGCTGGGGACTCTGCGGATAGGACGGGGGAAGGTGATGTATGACAGTGTCGAGCAACCAGGTGATAAAGAAACCTGAAAGGTATTAGTAGAACAATTGGTGGTGGAGTTCAACAGCTTGACGGACAGGTAGCTGGCAATACAGCAGTTCTGTGCCGTGAAGCTGAGACCTGACGGAGACTCGTTAGCTTTGGCGGTGAAGCTGGCGAATCTGCTACGTCGTGCACTCCCCCCATTGTATGAGGAGTTACAGTCGCAGCTATTGCCATCCCAGTTCATCGAGAGTGTCCAAGACCAAATCTCAGCAACTATAGCTGATTAACGCGGCACAACTCATGGACATCAGTGAGCAAGCGAAGGTGACCAGACAGCTGTCGGGCACAACGACAGTCGCAAGAGGGCCACCGAAATCGAACGAATGGGAACAGGAAGTTGAAGATTTACAGTGTCACTCAATCTTAGAGACGCTAGGAATGAGTGCCAGGCAAGATCAATGCTTTGAAGGTGGCAAAGCAGGACACTGAAGAAGGCACTGCTCAGAAAGAAGGAGAAGGACAATTTTCAGACAGTAAGATAGGTCTTCTTCCTCTTCTACCAGACTAGAATCAGTGGGTACTACTGAGGTGGGGGACAATGTATTCTAAGTTGCGAGTGAATGGCCGAGAAACAGTATGTTTAATAGATACAGGAGCAGCAGTTTTACTAACAGATGAGAATCTATGTCAGAGCGTCCTACCGTGTTCATTGACAGTTCAAACGGTAGGTGGAAACGTGTTAAGCATCAGCGGCATGTCAAACTGTAGCGTTTTCTTGGCGATCGTGAAGTAACGTTCCCGTCCATTGTTGTGCCTGATTTACGGCGAACAATACGTGGCGCTGATTGTCTGCGAGAGTTTGGTTTGGTAATCAACAGGAAGGAGACAGCACTGATTACGAAGTACGGACCTATCAGCATCTATGAGAAAAGCGAGATAGCAGGTGTTAATGTGTCGAAAGCATAGAATATGACAGTGTTAGTTAAAGAATACGACCATCTGTTCACTGGAGATGGGGACACCTACGGTTATTGCGATAAGGTGAGGCATGGAATCCCACTGAGCAGTTGCAAAATGGCGCCCATTCACAACACGAAGAGTACCATATCATCTAGAAGGCGAAGTCAAGCGATAAGTGGGGGAGATGTTACAGGGTGATATTGCTGAAGAAGGTGGCAGCCCACATAACTCTCTAGTTCTTTTTTTTGAAGAAAGCAAATGGGAAGAACAGATTTTGCGTCGATTTCCGACAGCTGGACAGAATGACAGAGCTCAGGCCACATATCACGTCAACCGTAGTAGAGACCTTGAATCGTATACAAGGTGCAAGTTTGTTTACACTGCTCGATCCCTGGTCAGAATATTGGCAGATACCGATAAAATAGTGCGACAGAGATAAGACAGCGTTCATCGCATGCCATTTGGACTGGTAGCTGCACTGTTTACCTTCAGACGACTGATGATTCTATTACTTAGAAACTTGAAGAATGCGAAGGTTTATGGTGATGATCTCGCCATCTATAGTCGAAGTGAAAGCGACCATGTCGAAGCCGTGCTAAGACGCAGTGAAGAGTTCGGACTGCATATCAACAGAACCAAATCTCAGATACCCAAATGGAGTGTCACGGTGTTGGGTTACAAAATAGACAATAGTGGGATAAAGTCACTATCGAAATAACCCTGAAGATAAAGGCCATTACGCCTCTTAAATCCAAGAGAAAGCTGAAGTAGTTCCTGCGGAGAGCACAGTTTTATGGTCGATTGCTGACAAACTTTAACGAGATAGCAGAACTTCTTTGCAGGTCATAATGTGAGTTAGAGTTTGTTTGGTAGAAAGATTCACAGAAGATATCCGATAGTTTTAAAGAGTTTAGACCATAAGTAAACAACGACAAAGCTGCCTGTACCCAGGAAGCACTTTTAGGCTTGCACAGATGCGAGTTACCAGGACATATGAGGTGTACTTAGACGGGGTGAAGGAGTTGTCGAATTTTCCAGTCGTGTTTTAACACAGACTGAAGACAAAGGTCCAACAGTAGACGAATAGAGACCGTATTTACTCAGCCAATGGTTCCACATCGCAACTAATCACAAACTACTACAATTCTTGAAGACGACGAGAGCCTCACGCGGAAAACTATCGCGGTGGGTGTTGTGCCTGCAGGAGCGTGACTTCACGATCTCACACGTTCGCGGAAAAGAACATATTTTGATAAATTCTTATCTGGACACGATGGTGGATCTAACTTACAGCTGACTGCTTACGAGGTATATGCATTGGGACAAGTTCCCTTAAGAATTGTCAGCAATCGGAATTCTGACCATACATTACCTTATTCCATAGCGAATCCGATAATATAACTAATTATTCAGTAAAAGAACCAGATGGTAGCTCCAAATACATAGGTGAACATGGTAATGACACTGCCTGTTAAGGAGAGACGTCATGCTACGCGAAACCAGTGGATGTCAAACCATACTCGAGCCTGATTAACGAGCTTAAGTACTTCAAACATCATTTCAACTCTCAACTTTATCTAATCCTTATTAATGCTAGATCTATCCCAAACAAACTAACGATGCTCAGGTCACACACACTAGTTTATTAATCCCCCATAATTATTATTACTGAATCTTGGTGTCAGTCTAATATGCCGGACGAAGAGATAAGCACCGATGGGTACTCACACTTTCAGTGTGACAGAAACGGAGATTGGGGGAAAGGTTGCCTTACTCACTTTCTGGACACACTCACTGTATTACAACTAGAAAATAGGGAACTCAACAACATGTACGACACTTTATGGGCCAACGTACACCTCAAAAGTGCTACAGTACCATTTGGATGCATTTACAGAGCGCTTGGCATATTTAGTGGTTACGAGACCCAAGTTAATAATGTATTGGAGCAAGCGTCCACTCTTCCATACAAACATATGACCATATGTGGGGACTTCAAACTGCCCGAAATCAACTGTGACTTGCTAACAGATCGAGAGAAATTTGAAAAGCTCTTAAGGATACTGGATATTTTTGCCTGGAAACAAACTGTCACTATCCCTACAAGGGTTGACAGCGTACTAGACTAAATATTCCATAACAATATAAATCTTCTCTAAATCTTAGAGGGTTCTGCATTTTCAGGTAGCGGCCACAAAATAGTGTTGTGTGCACTTCCTCTGAGTAGCGATGCAGCGTACATGCCTACTTCACAGTAAATTACATATAAGAACTACAGCAAGCAGACTAGGATTTCGCAAAATCAGTGCTAAGAATATTCACTACTTCACTGGTGACGTCTCAAAAGCGCCTAGCATCTTCTACCAGAACTTATACAGACGCATAGCTGCTGCCATTACACTCCAATTACCAAACGTTCTACTACATAAGAAGCCATTTATAAAGCTAAAAGTTTGCACGAAAGTTAAGAGATGCTCGACAAGTAACTTCAAACAACACGACTTCGGCACGTTGGGTACAATACTTAACACTATTAGCTCTATCTAACAAACCCATGGTTCACGTGGGACGATTGAAGAACGCACTTCACCAGCCAGCCCTGCTAGTGTGTGTGCTCTTATAGAAATCCTTAAGAAGCTAGTGAATCACAAAAGCTACAGGAACTTTCTCCTCATCGACAAAGCTAGGCTATATGGTAACTACTCAGAAATGTGTGAATCATTTAACAGAGCATCTCAAACTAACTATTTTAAACCCACAGTCCCATAACATGGTATGCACTTT